CCCCTGAGAAACTCTGGAGTCTCTGACATTGGAGGCTTTCAGGAGTCAACTAGACAAAATCATTGCTGACTTGAGTGCTGCTGGTACTCCCACTTCAAGTATGGCATTGGGCTAGATGACCCTCAGAGGTCCTGTATCATACTTTTATGAATTGTCTTACATTTTCTGTTAGAGTCTAGCCCTCAGTGTTTGCAGAGTTTTCAGTGTCCATACTGATACTGGCTCATGATCTTCAGTGTAAAAGTATTCTTTAGGGCATCATGAAGTAAGAGATTATGCCTGAAGGAGTATATTAAAATACTTGTTTTTCTTTTAAAACTCTGTACAAGCATTTTTTTGTCTTCTGTTATGCTTCTTTCTGTTTTGCTTTTGGACGCCTCACTTCATCTTTATCTCAGCCAGGGCATGACTCTGATGGGCTGCTGTTATATTTGACAATCAGTATTTTGGTTATCTCTGTGGCAAAGCAGGGAATTTTATATTTCAGTATGAGGTGAAGAGAATTGGATTGACAAACAGTTTGTTACTTGTCAAGTATCTTTGTCTGTCTTGCGAGAAAATTTTCTTCACTTTTGCAAATCCCTGAGAGAGTATCTGCTTATTCCTGAGGTAAACAAAATTCAGATCTGTTCTTCTTTGTGCTTTTTTAAGCATTAATCTGGAAAAAGACACCAGACTTGTGCTGCGTGATGATCTGAGGACAACACAGTATTTTTCTGATGTTGTTATTATTTCAGGTTAAGAATGTCTGGAGTGTTCTCAGAACCAAGAAAGCACAAGGTGAAGAGGCCCAGTCTTTCTTGTCTCTTACTATCATACATCACGGCTCATCTTCCCAAACTCCAGAAGTTTTTGGGCTGCCATATGGAAATTAATTAGTTTGTTTGTTTCATGAGTTGATTTTTGTCCACTTTCAATTTTAGGATGGATATCTTCAAGTTTTCTTTGCAAAGATTGGAAAGGCTGGAATTTCCAGTCCTTCTAGCCTCAATGAATAAATATACAGTGTTATGTAATCTGTGAAAATAACTTTAAACTCATTACTCTCACTACAAACATTGTCTCAGCAATGTTTTTACATCTTGGTACCTTCTCTTTATCTACTCTGCCTGGGAAGGAGAAGAGATGGGCTGACCTGAGCTCTGACTCTGCAGCTCTTGCTTGCATCATATCTTAGTTCCATTTACTATCCATCTTGCTGTGAACAAAGCAAATAATAATTAGAATCTAGGAAGCACAGAATGGCCTTCAGATACGCACAAAAGTCTTAAGGAAGCCCTTTGGTAATATTCCCAGGATTGCCAGAGCCTCGGTCATGACATCATTCTGTTTCCTTTTTTTTGAAAAGGAATTCTTCATTTCTAGACCAAATGAAAGATATCCAGAAGTTCTTGACTCGGGCGGTCTCCAGGTGGCTCCTCTTTCACCCAATCATCCTCCCACTGTTTCTTAATTATGTAGATTCCTCTGTTCTTTCTTCACTACTAGAGGAAGGGATAAGACAAAAAAGTAGGGAGAAGCAGCTTGAGGGGTGGGGTACAAAGTGTTTTTGGAAAATATGAGCCCTATTCTCACCTGCTGTGATTTAAATTCTCAAACTTTCTCATTTTCTCTGTACACATAACCTGTCTTCTCAAAAGTCCTGAATTTTAACAGCTTAGTTGAGCAGTGGGGTCTCAAAACCTTGACTGGAAAGGAGTGAGAGCAGATCTCAGACCTTCATGAACTTTTTTTCTTTGAACACAGAAAGAGCTCATGTGCAAACTGGTTGGAGTTAAGCCACCTGCCGAACACCATATTCTTAAAGAAGCTGTATTTAACAAACTGGGAAAGGACAAAAGTCAGCTGGAGGCAGTGGAATGGTAAAATGTTCCAGTGATTTTTAAAGGTTTAAAAAAAATAGAAATGTTTGCAATTCTAGCCATTTTGGTGCACAGTTCAGACTGTTAAACTGGTGTGCTGAACAAGCTGGAAACTAGAAAACTGAGATGAAGCTGTTGATAGGCAATGATGTAAGTATTTCTCATTTCTTCTGCCAGGCTAGGTTTATTGGGAGATGAACCAGTTCCAGCAGCAGATTCCATTGTGGGGGCTCTTGCAAAGCACATGGAGATGAAACTGCCATTTGGTATGTAAGAAATTTTTTTTCATGGATTTGAGGGAAGTCAATCTCTTTTATCAACCTTATTTGAATTAGTTTGTTCACCTTCATTAAGAAACCTTCCTTTAGGTTTTTTAATGTATTGTGATGTTCCCCCCTTCCTCAATTTATCCTTTTCTTTCCCTGTTACACTTTAGCTTCATCTTAATATTCTGTCCTTCTTACAGTCCTTGCTTTCAGTCACTTCCCTAATACATGTGCCATGTGTGCATAGTGCCCAAATCCTCAGGAACCTTGACTTGATATGACTGAAATACAAGTAGTGAATAGTTTGTGTGCTTTTCTCTTAGGTGCTGGAGAGAGAGATATGATTGTTATGAGAAATGAAATAGGTCTCAGGCATCCCTCTGGTCATTTGGAAGACAGATTTATTGATCTGGTTGTCTATGGGGATAACAAAGGATATTCTGCGATGGCTAAAACAGTAGGATACCCCACAGCTATTGCTGCTAAGATGGTTCTAGATGGTAAGTGGCTGTTCAGACTTCAGTAACAGTATTTCAACCCTCTGTATCTTCCTGCCTGTAGAAAGCAGATGTATAGTGTTTCTGAAGTGTGTATATTTCCTTCTTTCTTTCTTTATGTTTATGTTTTAAATGTTATCACACTATTCCTGTTATCTTTACCAGAATTTTAATCTGCATGTTTGGATGTTTCAGTGGCAAGTCTTAATTTACTACTTAATGTACAGACATTTTTAGTCTTAAATGGTGTAGAGGAAACCTTTAGCATGATAAATTACAATTGATTATACCACAGTGAAACAGGCTAACATACACCTGTGCTGAATAAACTAGTGACTTCCACTACTGCTTTCTGGATTCATGAAATTTGAGGCTTGAGGCATATTCTCTGATCACGTGTATACATAAACAGGCAAACTCTGCCTAGTTATCACTGTTGAAAGAAACAGTGTGATTTCCTCTTGCTTGCTCTTAATCTTTAGAACTTTGTTCTCCTGGCTAACTGAAATGAGCAAAATGTGATTTTTGTTGCTGTTATTTTTTTAAAAAAAACCAGCAACTCAAACTTACGAAGTTTAGATACTTTTCACCTAACTGTAGTTTCACAGCTCTATGATTTAAATTCAAGTTGTGTTTCCCACTATATTTCAAACTTTGTTCCTTATTCTTTGATACAGTACTGATGCTGTGTGAGAACATAATGTCAGGATTGATAAATCTGCACGTGTAAATCTATGCAAAAATAAAAGAAATTAAAATTTATGTAATTGCATTTTGATCTTTGCATTTGTGCTGGGCTGACCGTGGCTGGGCTGTTGGATGCCCACCCAGCCCCTCTCTCACACCTCACCTCTTCCTCAGCATGACAGGGGGAGAAAACAAGATGAAAAGGCTCTTAGGTTGAGATAGAAACAATAACTTACCAGTTACTGTCATATACGAGAGTAAACTTGGATTAATTTAATTTATTGCTAATTAAAACAGGTAACTTATTGTCAATTAAAACAGGTTTGGATAATGCAAAAAAGAGACAATTGAAAACACCTTCCCTCCTACCTCCTCCCTTTTCCCGGGCCCACATTCACTTCTCCACATACTCCTCAGCCTCTTCCCTCTGCCCCAAGCAGTGCAGGGGGCTGGGGAATGACAGCCTGTGTTCAATCTGTAACAGCTTCTCTCTGCTGCTCCATCCTTGTGCTTTTCCTCTGCTCCAGCAGGGTCTTCACTGCAGGCTGCAGGGGTATCTCTGCTCCAGTGCCTGGAGCACCTCCTCCCCCTCCTTCTCTGCCACTGGCGTTGCAGGGCTGTTTCTCACACTCTTTTCCTCACTGCTGTTCAGCATTTTGCCCTTTCTCAAATACGTTTTCCCGGAGGAGCCCCATCCATGGCTGAGGGGCTCAGTTGTGTGCTGTGGCTGGAGCGCTTTCCTCACAGAAGCCATCCTGCAGCCTCACAGCCTTGCCAAGGAAACCCAATAGAGTGCTTAATATTGTTTTCTTTTTTGTACCTTTATTTCAGGTGAAATAGTTGCTAAAGGCATGGTGATACCCTTGACGAAGAATGTTTATGGACCAATACTTGAACGTGTTCGAGCAGAAGGAATTCTGTACAGTAGTCGCAGCATTATCAAACAGTAACTGGAAGCTGTGGATTTAATCAGGTTTTGGTTTTGTTTTCTTCTCCTCCCTCCACCCTTTAAGAATCTCAATTTGGACCACCTAAAGGCAGCACTTGCCATTTCATACACAAATGATGTCTTCCATAAAATTAGTCACCTGGCTTTGATGTAGAAACTGTAGATACTCATGAATTGCGGTATTTTCCTCTTAAAATCGTTTTCATGTACATGTTTCAGCATCAATCCAATGTTATATCTTTTCTAAAGTATCTTGGGTTTTTTTTTGTTATTAGAATTTATCTTCTAAGTTTGCAGGGTTATTATTGAGAGAAATTTAAGCTGAAAGAAAAATCTAATAGTAGATTCTTTTGTGCTGGAAAAGTCTGGTTAATGAATTGCATTGATGAAGTTTGTTTGTTCATGTGGTAAAAATTAATTTTTCAGAATAATGGAGATGAAAGTAATACTTGAAATGTGAGTCTGATTGTCCCTTTAACAGTATTTGTGAAGGTTTTCACAATAACAATATGCAAGAAATAGTTCAGAAATTCTGCACTACAAGCAAATAAGATCCTGTTAATTCTTGAAAATGTTGGTGTCAAATATTGAGACATAGATTGTAATATTTTTTAAACCCTTTCTTATGAATGTAAATTGAAATTGATCAGAGGAGTGAGGAAGTTTAAAGCAAGCTTCCCCCCATGCCCTTTCCTGTTACAGAGTGGAAGCTGTTTGCAGTATGTTGAAATACCTGCTGTTACGTGTTGCCTTGTACTGCAGAGAGAGCACATTAGCATTTAGCTCTGCAGCTAGGAAGGGCATTTTGATATACAACACAGTTAATGTGCTTAGAGGCTGCTCCAAATGACATGTTTACTCTCTGCACTTCCACTGTGTGCCTTGTCCGGGTTAAGTACTGTTACAAAGGGAATAGATTGTGTAGTATGTGCAGCTTTGAAACGCAGTAGGCTTAAAGGTTTAAATTGCCACTTTTTATGTTAGCTTCTGTTCTTCTGCTATCCTGCTTTTGAAACGTTCACTTAGGAGCCTATGCACACTACTCAGTACAGTGCCACTTTACACTGATGATAGCTTGCCAGTGTGTGCCAGCTCATTTGCTGCAGAGTGCTCTGCTGCACAGATGTGCCAGCTCAGCTCTAGTCGCAGTTCAGCCACGCCAGTCCAGAACTGAGGTACAGCCCAAGTGCAGTTTCTCTGTAACAAAGCAGTAAGTTGCCTCCCTCCAGTTCAGGGCTGCTTCTCTGGCTTTTGTGTGGAAATTTCTGCACCCCCTTGCAATGCAAGCATGGCTTAGACTTCACCAGTTCGGTCTGTGAGCTATAGTGCTGTGGGCAGATGGTATTTGCACTGGTACCTGTGCAACTGCCTAGAGCTTCCCTTTTCTGAAGCTGAGTACAGATGCTGGAAGCTGTTTGCCTTCAACTTTGCTCACAAGTGCACTTTGCTGATAAATGCACAGCCTTTTACCTCCTGAGAATCACAGTGCTGTTACACAGGTGTCATTTTGCACATTAGGAAAAGCAGCCATAAAATAATTCAAGTTCTGATCTCCAGATTTTCCTCAGGATTTGGATTTTCTTTGCATAAGTGTTGGGTGAAAGAAGCTGAGGGGAGAAGAGAGTGAAGGGCAGAGTGTTACTGTCAAAGAGGAGGGCTTTTTATACTGAACCACTGAATGCTTCTGTAATATCAAATTTGGATGCTGTTACAGTGCCATGTGTATATCGAATAAAATTCTGTTACAGTGCCATGCATGTATCAAATGCAATCCTGGCTCCACTAAGTTGCTTTGCTTCCCACTCACCTTACAGAGTCTGTTGTATGGCTGGTATATGCAGCTTGGGTAAGGATGGGGCCTGCAATCCATGTTCTGCTCTCTGCTGCCTCCTCCTGCTCCAGACAGATGAAAGGCCTACTACTAAGGCTTAAAATTTGCAATTGTATCTGCCGGTCCCTTCCAGACTAGCACTTGGTGAGACCAGGATTTTACTTTAGAATTCTCTGTTCCCTCCTTTAGCCCACAGCCATGGAGTATATATGTATGCACAGTACTTGCTTTTCTGCCTTGGAAATGCCATATGCAAAGAAAACCAGATTTTTTTAAAAGTGTCAAATATTTTCAGAGCACTAAAGAATGAGCACTACAGTGTTTTCTTCAAGAAACACTGCTACTATTTTTGAAACATTTTTTATCGAAATATATTTCTGTTTCCCAGTGCAATGCTGCTTTTTGTTTTCTATATGTAGACTTGTTTATTGCTCATCTTTTTGTATGAAGATTATACTTCTCAGTTCTCTTTGCATATTATTGGGATGATAATTGTATCTTATACACAAGATTGCTTGAAAAATAAATATGAAGTCCTCTGCTTTGTTGTCATGTCATCTTTACAGTCTAATGAGATGTATATGAATGGGGTTTGTTTTTTTCACATAGATGGTTGTATTGAAAAGTTGTCTACACATGGACTTTTCTATGTGCATGAAATACCTTTGCATATTTTCTTGCTAGACTCACAGGAGAAGACTCTTCAAGGATTGTTTAAGCATCCCCATGTAAAACACATCTGTATATTTATATGCATATATACATATGTATATCTGTATCTAGACATCATTTTCAGCTATAATCTAAAGAGATGAATTTTTTTTTGGTTTTGGGCACAATTCTGAAGTAGAAGGCTACAAAACAGTAGATGTACAATATCTCCCTGTTCTCCAGGAAGGCATAAGAGCTTGGTGTCTCACTGCCTGTCTCAGTTGAAGGCCTTGCTCAGCCAAATCCATGGTTTCTGCTATTCCTGCCTGGGCTGAAAGGCTCTTAAACTCTTTGTTTACAATAGGCTCCAAGGAACAGATTGCTTATTGCTGCATGTCTATCATTTTTTCATTTGGGAATTTATGTGACCACAAGCTCTTCATGACGTTAAGATCCCAGCTTTTTCTGAGATGTAGGTGCTTGAGCTGAGCCCCATTACACTCAGACTTCCTTCCTTGCCTCTGTGTTTCACACACTTTTAGCCCTAGATATTCCTACAGATGAGAATTGCATCCCTTTGAGGGACTAGAGTACAAAAGTGGCACTGCCAGATAAAGTATGTAAGCTCATGGCACAATAGCTGTTTAATGTGGGGGAACAAAAGAAAAAAATAGGCTACAGTGGTTGTGATTGGGCTGGAAAACTAAGAAAAGGAGGAGAAGAAAAGTAAGAAATTTTGCTTTGAGCGTCCAGCAGAGTTTATCAAGGCAAATCGATTATCTCAAACACCCTCTGACTAAGTTACAATGTACATGTTGTGACTTTCCTGAGACAAGGAATGAAATCTATAAACCAGAAGGGATTTTTTTTTTCCCCTGCCACTTGTTTAGGCTCTGTAAGGAAGGAGTGCAATTTGGAAACAGAGGGGAGTCAGAAGTAATGTGGCTAAATGCCCTGAGAAAAACTTCTCTTCCCTCCTGTCCATTTGAGAGACCCTAATCCACCAAAGCACAAACCTGTTAGCAGTGGATGGTCAGACCTGAGCCTTGCTGCAGGGAAGCAGTGAAAACTAAGACTGTAACCTAGGACACCTCAGACTTATGGTAGTAGTTGGGTCTCTGTTTCTGATTTTAATGCCAGCAAGACAATATTGCTTCTCTCCTCCCCAGCTCTGCTTTGCTTATGCTTCAGAACGATTAGAGAGAAAAGTGGGTTTAACTTGGCTAAACTCATCTTGAAGTGTTTACCATGGAAAGTTTCAACCCATCTGAGCTTACACACATTATCATAGGACGTACCAATGACCTGTCCCAGGTAAAGCACTGTGATAAAACATTGCTAACTAGTTTTGTCAACTGATCTTCAAAGTCCATACTAAGGTCTTTAGCTAATTCACACATACTGATAGTGATGAGTTTTTATGCCTTCTGCTCATCATTTATTGCTGACTTTTGTAAAGCTTCTCCATATGTTATTAAATCTCAACCTCACTAAAAACCTGGTGATGTTAGTAAATTACTTGTGTTCCTTTTTTTTTTTGTTTTTTTAACTCTCTGCTCACCTATGATTTCTTAGGAGGAAGCTCACTGATCAAGTTTTCCTTGTCACACATGACTTAGAGCTTTGTAAAAAAAATAAATCTTAAACTGATGTTGTTTATTAATATCTTACTTCTTGCAGGAGATATGTAGCATCTTTTCCACACTTGACCCAGTTTGAAAAGGCAGGCTGTATGTCTTTTGAGTCTGTAGCTTGGATTACAAGAAAAAAATTAATTAGAATATGGCCTTTGTCTGAGAGAGGAACTGACACGCATTTATTAAAATCTGTAATCCATCACAGTTGAAGATTATAGAAGATTTTTATGATTCTTATTTTTTTCTAGATCAGAACCAATATGTGTGAGTAAAGAGATTATCCTAAGCACTTATGTTTTAAATAACTTGTCAGCATGCTAAGATGATGAATGTGATTACAAACATCTCTGGAAGAAACCTTGAATGACAGCTGATTCTTTGGATTATAATTTTAAAATGTCTGCAAAACATTTAGGTTGAAAGGAACAGTTATATCAAATGGGATTTTGGAAAGGAGGATTCCTTTTTTTTTTTTTGCTTTTGGTCCATAGAGGCTTGAAAAACATAGTAGAATTAATTGGCCTAAAAATTACTTTGTATATACAACTACATGAAACTCTAAATACGTTAGCAGAAAGTATCAAAATAAAAAGCATGATGTTATGGGAGGCAACAAGTTTTCCTAAATAAAAGGCTGGGGAAGTAGCACATGAGCACTATAATTTCTGTTGTGCTAATGTGGTGAAGAGCAGAAGTATACACTAATAAGAGTATGGAATATGACTTGCAAATGGCCAAAAGATCACAATTAACCCCTCTCATATGGGCACCTCTAGAGATTAAGAAATTGAAAACTATTTCTATATTTTTGGAATGAGAAGGGATAAGTATACAACATCTTTGTCCTTGTTAGCCTAGATGTGCAAATGGGAGTGTGTTGGC